CAACATAGAAGGTTGCGGAAACTGTGAGCCTAACGAAAGCTGCGACCCGAACGAATTGAATGCAATATCACCCCACGATTGATGACATCTGATGCTACACACCTACCTAGCGTTAGCTTGGGTTTGATAAGTAGTGTCGAACGTACCTCCTGTCCCTCCGGTGCTTCGCTCCACCCCTGCGTCTCGGCAATTTCAATGGCACACATGTGATGAAAAGTGTTTGAGCACCTTGAGCACTTCCTCAACGCCATCCCTAGGTCTTGATGGCACAGCACGCATGTAGTCGCCTCCACATGACCGCTCAGAAGCGTTGGAGTGGACATGGAAAGTACGGCCGGTGACCCTGCGGTCAATCGTGGAGTGGAGGGAAGCGTTGAATGACGCAGCGGCGAGGTCATCGGGCTTATCTTCACGTGTGGTACTCAAAATCAAGAGTGAAAAAGAAAGGCTGGAATTCAAAATTTGAACTTGGAGCCAATCACAAGCCACACTCCTTGAACTTAATAAGGATACAATCGGCGGCATGTGCAAACCTGTTACCCCTTTGATTGGCTGATGACAGTATCCGGAGCATTATCTGGTTCAGCATGTTCATAATTATATTCATGATTTATAGTTATCCGGTATGACGTACCCCACAATTCAGGAAATTGATTGGCCCTCCCACGTGATAGATTATATCACGCGCACTAGAAATGATTAAAAATACACCATTTCTGATCAAAACACCCCTTAACTTGAAGTTCGGGGTGATAGAATCTCTCACCTGGAGGAAAACATAGTGTAATCAAGCCTATTCTTATGTATACTTGGCTTGCCTTTGACTTCCCGTCCTATAGGGTTAATAGTACAATGCAAGGTACAGCTGTAAGTTACTGTAGAAATTGTAGTATCATTTAACGCATCACATACAAATATTGCATTGCATAGAAATACAGAGAAATACAGTTGAGCCGAATAAGCCTTTCTGAACGATGATTTTAATTTCTTTTAAAAAACCAATAAATTGGATAAGAATTGAAGAAAAATCCCTCCCTCGAAGTAGTACTAACCGTTACGTAGTAGTAATACTAGTAGTACATGACATGTTGGGCGGAGGGAAAACTTCGTGATTGGCTGATACAATTAATACTCCGGAGTAGTATTCACTAATAAAACCGTGTAGAATGGACAGTAAATTTCTGAGCAATGATTGGCTGATACAAGTTTGTTTAAAAAGAACAAAGCACATTGGAAATAAAATACTCGGAGTACATATTAATACGTAGTGTACTTCACGAAAAATCTCACGAGATTCCCACACGTGTTTGTGTAAACTGGTGATAATATTAAAAGGTTAACGCGACAATCCATATTACGTTGTTGTGCGAAGGGACACTTCAGTGTGGTGAAACTGATTGAGTTGAATCAGCGGGCCCGGTGACTCCATCAGCAGCGTGGGATTGTGCGCGCTGCAGTTCTTTTTCACGTTGGCTTCGACCAGTTGCGCAAAGAGCTCCGTGTTGGCGGCGTAGCAGTTGACGAGGATCTCGGCCAGTTTGCCCACGGCGCACACGTCGCCAAAGTCTTTGGCTTTGGGCGGAATCAGGTGTACATGGCGGACTTTGCGAAGGCGCGACTGGGTGGGGCTGATGGGTTCGGCCAAGCACCAAATGCTTTCGCGGGAGCGGAGGACGTTGTCCGGGATCGGGTGTACGTCGTCTTCCAGGACCGATTGGCCGATCCAGACAAACGAATCGGCCGTGCCAAAGCTGTGAAAGACAAAGTTCACGTGCACGTCGGGCGCGCCGTCCAGCGTGTACACGCGTCGGATGTATTGAGTCTTGGAATCGAATGTTTCCAGCAACTAAAACAGCACTAAGTTCGAATATACCACCTGGGTTTTCGAAAACTCCAACAAACACACCAACCAAAAAAAAAGAGAAGATTGTTTCGATATTGTCGATTTGATACAAATTTGGATGGAGGGGGTGCAATCGAATCGCGCCGACCAAACCGATCCACAATCGATCTGATTGGTTGAATTTCATTGAGAAGGTTTTGATTGGTTAATAATTTTGGGCTCAATTGAAGTAGCCAATCAAATCGATTTAAATTCCAACGAGAAACCACGCCACAACACGCAATATCACTCAAAAGCACAATACTAATCTGCGAAAGATATGAGACACATGAGAGAAAAACATGTCCCAACATGAACAAGTCATCGGTCAAAATATACTATATATAGAACAAAAACAAATCCCCATATCCCATACTATTCATACATCGAGAACATGTCCCAAGATGATCACGGCGCCAAAAACGTTGAACATGTACATGTGCAAGGGACACTTGACATGGGTGGAAGACAACTGTACCGAGGTATATCCGTTCGAGTACTCGGAGTAGTCGACGCGGGGAGTCACGACGGTGTTGAGTCCCGAGGTGAGATCGCCGATGGGCACGTTGAAGATGAACGACAATGACATCTCAAACACAAGCTCCTTGGAGCATTCGTCAAAGCGCACCGACACCTGCTTCCACGTGTTCTGGGTGCGCAACATGCCGTTTTCCGCAAACACATCTTGCATTCGCGCCAGTTGGTTCTGCATGATGGCGTCGACGGCAAGTTTCCTCTCGCGGGGATCCACAGTCAAGTGCACGTACGGGATGTCGGACGGCCCCAAGATCGACGACTCCTACATATGTGTGTCGATCGTTAGAGTCAGCAAGGAAGAATGTAGCTACTACATAGCTGCACATCACACGTACGAGGAGGAGCGGTTGGTTTGTCAACACCCCTTGCAGGTCGCGGATGATCGACATCTGCATCTCCAGGCGCGACTTGAGTCGTGTGTTCTCGATCATGGATTGCTGGCGCTGCCACGCTTGCCGCCGCGCAAACCCTTCCCACGTCGACTGCGCTTGTCCTTCAATCTTCTGTCGTTTGTTTAGGTTCAAATCGTGCAGTTGAAGTTCCAACGAATCGTATTTGTCCTGCAGGTCGGCCATTTCCTCGTTGTAGCGCGCTTTCGCCTTCTCGTGCCGCCGTTTGCGATCACTGCTCGCTCGGTTCTCTGTCTTGGGCGGCAAGTTGCTCGATGATGATAATCGGGGGGCGAGCATGTTGAGTTGGGTCGGCGGAAACGACCGCGATGCTCGGGACGGATCTTCCTTGATGGCCGGGGAGAACTCATTCGACGGATTCAACAGCGACTGCATCGAGATCGCGGCGCCACCCTTCGCGGGTAAGGCGGTACTCACAAACATGTCTTCTTCTACCTGATCGTTTTGTTGTGGGAGTTGGGGAGGCGTAATCTGGGTTGGTCGCTTGTGATTGGTCCGTTCTGTCCGACGAGGGTCTTGATGAAGGGGCTGGTCCGATGTGCTATTGGGAAAAATGCCCAACGATAATGGCACGATCGTCCCACGATTGGTGTTCTACATGTGTTTTCTATGGAAATATACTTGGGAACGCTCCTTTTGTGGGCAAGCTTACGCCGGCATGGCAAGGACCACTCAGATCTCTTACCGGCGTGTTCTAAGCTGAAAGAACAAGGGCAAGCGCTTGTAGTGGTGGTCTTGAGGCGGTCGACTATGTATTTCACAAGGATTCATCGTCCATCAAGTCTAATCCATCAGCAGATGACAAAGTACAAAGAAGCTGCCCGCCCCTTCGCGGTTTGTAGAACCATTTACTTGTGGTCTGTTATTGACGAATCATCGGGATTGGCTTCTATCGCTGAACTTGTTCCGGCCCGTTCATTTTGTTGCATAAACACGCACCCATTATTCCTTAAAACGTATTACTACAGAGGTAGTAACCAAGAAACACCCTCTACTGGTCGGTTGTCCACGATTAACCCATTACGTTATAAGGGAAATTGAACACACTTCTGGCAAGGCTGGTTGGACTCATATCGCAATTGCTCACCACATTGGTTATTTTTAATGAAAAGCATGATACATCCAACAATTAATTATGACTCCGGAGTAGTACTACTAATAGTAAGTACTTACTCCGGAGTACCATAGTACAGCACAACCTAATCAGTGATAGATACTGTATGTTCTTAACTGTTACTATTAATATTATTGTTGGCCCAAATGTGATTATTTATCGCCCATCACCACAATCATAAATCGGTGCGATGACCTGTTTCCGATCCTCCAAGTGCATCGCCGATAGAAGGAGATTGCCTGGGATGCAAAGGTCAAGGAGATCTATGCCGCCGTTGTTGAGAGGTCTCTTATGGCTAACGCTGTCGCAACTATGTACCAACGTTACTATTAATCGAATTCAACTACAGTAATACTAGTAGTATGCTGTGTAAAGTACTGTAGTTTATCGAGTCCCACCCACCCTGGTTATGCGTTCGAATGCTAGCAAGTCAGTCACGATTATACCACCCAAGTTGCCCGAATTATAAAAGTCAGGATGAGTGGTGTGTAAAGTGAAGTGCACGATTCCGCCCACAGTTCGTTTTGTCACCCTTGAGAGCATCCCCACCACATTATTCGGATGTTTTACAGTTTTACCGCTGGGGTTGACAAAAATCAAAATACAGGAACTGTAAAACGGTATTTTACAGTCTGATTATACAGTCGCACCGGTGGGGATGCCCTGACAACCTGAACTGTTTATACTCATTTCCGGTATCAAACACTGGATTCCCTTAACTCCTGTTTCTGCACCCGTCTGGTCCGGACTTTGCACAGGTCTTTGAGTTCAGCTCGTTCACTTATAAGTAAAACCTTTGCCGTCAGCGCCCATTCAAGTCGCACTGTTTGTTGCCTGTAGAATGATGCATATCCGTAAAACACATGGATTTCCGAGCAGAACTCCTCTGGTCGTCCAGTTTTTTCACTGGATTATCTCAATTGAAGGGGCCAAATGAAGTGGAAGGGGGAGGGCATTGACGCAACACTGCATTGCAGGCTTCTTCGATACCAAAGCACGAACTCACGTAGAACTAAACTACTGTAGCGACCATACTACATGTGCGATCTCCCCCTTTGATCTGTAAGTTGACGCTCGCTAAAAACAGACAGACAGTCGATTATACAGCCCAGCATCGCGTTCAAACTGCGACGTAGAACATGGAATACAGTATACATGCCATTTTGTGGACCCTCAATGGTCCCCCGAGGACCAACACGTCCCCCCTTCACGAATACACGTCAAGCTGGATTCGAAATTCATTTGGCATTTCCCACCAAGTGTTGAGGGACGTTTCAAGTGTAGTTTGGCATATTGACCAGCAACGTAACCGATTACAATAACGAAAATAGCACACGGATTGGACGCCGCCGACATGGGCAACAAGGCACTGGCTCGATCTTCCACAAAGCCCCCTAGCCAGGCAATCCCGAACCAGCACGCCAGCAAAACGCACGTGCTACCATTTGATGACGGCGACACAGCTGCATCGTCGAAACTGGCGGCGTCAGAGTTTCGGCAGTCCACCGACTGGCGTAGCGACGCCAGCGACCCCAATAACGAAGGAACGGATACCGACAACGACGATCTCCGTCATAAAGTAGTAGCCTCGCCCTACAAACGGATGGGCAGCGGAACCAAAGTGCCAGCAAAGACGGGCGAGTCGGGGAGCGACTCGAGTGACGACGACGACGACAAGGACATGGCGCGGCGCCTCAACACCCGCAACGTGACGATATCGTCGCTCAAACCGTCCGTGGACCCGATTGCATCAACGTCGTCATTCCCCCCCGTCTCGCAGCACGACCCTCACCCAGTACTAACCAACACCAGAACCCAAACCAAGGGAGCTCTCTTGGCACCGCTGGATGTCAAGTCCACGCAATCGTTTGCCCATGGAAAAAGTATCGTGGAACAACCCCCCGCACCCCAATCAGTAGGTTCAACTACCTCCCTCACCCCCGCTTGTGATTCGTTGGATCTAGCCAGTTTGGCGCTCAATGTCTACCTAGTGTATATATGTTGATAAGGCCGTTCGTTTACAAGATAACCCTCATTCTGTGGGGGTTTTTTTGCGTAGAAAGTTTACGAGTCCACGAATGCTGCGTCCTTTGGCCATGGCCTGGATGCGGTCATGTTGATGGCGTTGAAGACCCCCCCACATACTGCGACGGACGTGTCAAGGGGAATGGTTGCAACGCCTCCAGCAACGACTTCGCACGACATTGACGACTTGGCAACGATGGAATTGATCAACGAACTCATGCTCGAGTCGCCCAAGATTGAATCGTCAAAAGAAACCCATATTCGAGAGGCGCTGGTCGTGACGCGGCAGCAGCGAAGTGCGGGCAAAACGACCAAAGGGGGTATAGGAAAGCCCCCCTTTGTGCCCCCGCCATATCTAGACGCTACGGACGAAGACATCATGAACCAGATATTGCAAGAAAGGCGGCCCGGCACGACCCCCATAAGTTAACCAACCCCGTCTTATTTTAATATCGTCGAGTGTGAAATCCGTTCTGTCAAGTTGAATGAGGCAACACGTATTTGCGAATGTCCTAGCCAATCAAAATACACTGTTGAACTAATTGAGCCAATCAACGATCATCATAGTTTGGCTCAGCGATTTGACCCAACCCAATCATATACCTGTGTAAATTTGTAAGGGCCCGTCTCTTCAAGCAAGACATCGAATCGACCACATATATATTTCCAAAATTCGTGTGG